CGAGGTACGTAGACCAAATCGATCTACAACCCCGGACGCTGCCTCGCTATCTAAAGCTGATTGCAATGTGATCTATTTGTGATCACACTTGCATTGCTGAAGAAGGACGCCAAGTGGTTGCACGTCTTCTGGTATTCCTAAAGTTCGCAATTGAGAGAAAGAGACGGTGGTCTTCGCATCGTATAAAAAGTCTATCACCGTTGTCAGAATGGCTCTCATCAACCGCGTGAATGCCACCAACATGTTCGCACGGAAGCAGGCCACCTACTCGTGCATTGAGATCTTCGGCAAGGACGGTGACATCTGACTTTCCGGCCTTCTTCAGAAGGTTGCGAAGTCCACAATAAAAGTCATCCTTAACCGTTGCACTGCTACACAAATTGTGCCTCCCTTCACGATTTCTGTTGATTTTACATGAGTTTTGAACCCGAACCGTACACAGCCGGCTATTGTTTGGAAACCAGTCGAGTAATCCAGCCTCTGCTTTGTCGCTCAATGCGATACTGACACCAGCTACGCCGGCTGTTGCTGCCTCCATGTCACTAGTCAGATATAGGTAATGAATGGTCTTAAGAGCAGCTGGGAACGATAACTTAACCACGGTGCTGGAATCCTGTAATCTAGTCTCTGAAAGGTAACAAACATCGATGGCGAGGGACTCTAGAGTGCTCGCCAGGCCAGCGTGTTGTCTAATCTGTAGGAGGGTTCGAACATCGAACGCTTGGAGCGTTGGGCTGAACACTTTGCTATGCAATTTAACCAACCTGAGTTATCGTTTTCTTCTTCGGGCATTGAGCGCCCTTCTCCTTGGGCCGTATCCTTGGATCCGCCCTCACGCGCAGAAGTCGAATGTGAGATCAAGCTGTTGAAATTGCATAAGGCCGCAGGAGCAGATACGATTCCTCCAGCCCTCTTCAAATTCGGTGGACCTGCTCTAGTAGATGATCTACACGAGTTGCTAGTAAAACTTTGGGAGCAGGAGACAGTCCCGACAGACTGGAACCGCTCCGTCATTGTCCCAATTTTCAAGGGAGGCTCCCGTTTAGAATGTGGCAATCATAGAGGGATCAGTCTGATTTCGATTGCCTCTAAATTGCTTGCCTCTCTCATTCTCCACAGACTGAGTGGCACTCGTGAAAGCCAGATTCGTGAAGAGCAAGCCGGATTTCGTCGAGGTCGGGGCTGCATCGACCACATTTTCACATTGCGTCAAGTGTTGGAGCACCGCCATGTTTATTGGCGACCCACCGTTGTCGTGTTTCTTGACATAAAAGGTGCCTTCGACTCAGTCGATCGATGTGCCCTTTGGGACTGTCTGTTGAGGAAAGGTGTGCCTGATAAATATGTAAATATTATCAAAGCGCTGTACGCACATAGTTCGGGCAGGGTGAGGGTTTATCGCAAACTCTCGCCACCCTTCAGTATCACCAGCGGTGTGAGACAAGGATGCCCGCTGTCACCTTTCCTCTTCAACTTCGCTATTGATGAAGTCATGGAAACAGCGTTCGCTGGACACGACCTAGAAGGTGTGGAGCTACTCCCTGGTGAGCGACTTCTTGATTTGGAGTATGCAGACGATATTGCCCTAATCTGTGACAGCTCTCAAACATGCCAAACAGCACTGAACCGATTAGCACTGGCTGTCAATCGTTTTGGGCTATGCTTTGCTCCATCGAAATGCAAAGTACTTCTCCAAGATTGGCAGGGACCCAACCCTGCGCTAACGCTTGGTGGTGATCTGCTAGAAGTCGTTCAGGAATTCAAGTACCTGGGCAGCTATATTAGCACCGGTGGGATTGAAGATGAGGTTACGAACCGTATAGCAAAAGCTCGAGGTGCTTTTGCCAATCTCCGCCACCTGTGGCGCAGACGCGACATTACTCTCGCCCTGAAGGGCAGAGTTTACAATGCAGCCGTCCGTTCAACTCTGCTATATGGCTGTGAAACCTGGCCCATCAGGTCGACAGACATGAAGAGACTCGTCACATTCGATCATCGCTGCCTTCGCAGCTTAGCTCATGTCTGGTGGGAACACCGCGTGAGCAATGAGCGTGTTCGGCGTCGCGTATTTGGTACAGGAAGAGCGAGTGAACCGCTCAGCACGATTATATCACGCACCAGGCTCCGATGGCTGGGCCACGTGTTGCGCATGCCAGCACACCGACTCCCACGACGTGCTTTGTTTACGCGTTGTGGGTGCGGTTGGAAGAGGAGGAGGGGAGGCCAAGTGATGACTTGGTCGAGAGAAATGAAAACCCTCACTTCGAAGTTGGCGTCGGTTGGTGCATCCCGACTGCCTGGTTGGGGTCCTAAGGACGGTGAACACGTTTGGTTGGACACACTTGCTGATATGGCTAGGTGCCGGCCCCAATGGCGTTTGTGTTGTGAGTTCCTTTGTCCATCCCCCTCCTGTTTAGCATCCCCCTCCAACCACGATCTCAATCGTTTGGCATAATATGACTTTCTTTTACGGCAGCCAGCTGTTAGCTCTCCGGAACGATGTCCATCCGTTACTGGGGACTCAGCGGGCGTGCCACTGTTTGTTGTTGTTGTTTTGTTTTTTTCTTCTTTTCTTGCCTTTTGTATTGCGGCACAATAGCTGAGGTGTTTTCCACCTCCAGCTAACGTGTAATGATGATGATGATGATGAATGAATTACGGGATAGAAGGATAACTAACTGCCGGATGATTTGGATATCAGCGAGATGGGCATTGGAAGTAGATTCAACAGGTTTTAGATTATCAGCAAGAGAAAAGTTGGTGTGTGATGAAGAAGCACGAGTAGCAGCGAAAGCAGCAGCAGAAGTAACCTACGTAGTAGTAATTCTGAAATCCATGGTTTTCACAGAGGGCACGATACCACCCGGTTGCCCAAGCTGTAGTAGGGAGTTGTCTTAGGGGACTCTTCCCCAAGCCTTTGGTTAAATAGCCTACCCGCAAGGCAGTGGAGCGAAATCAGGGATTCGGAGCCGATGACTGATTGCTCAGTTCATACGCCTTTTGTTTGGTGAGTAGCCAAACAGGGGCCCAATCTTCCGCACCATTTCAGCAGCAAGGTGCTGGAATACGATGCTACACCAAGGTGAAACAATGGGCGGTGGCTTTATTTAATGGCGAGTCACATCCGCCACCTCGCGTTGTTGTTAAACGGACACGTGGCTTTTTATAGGGAGAAGGCTTGCCAGGCGAAAACCCACCACATCCTGAAATATTGCCGCCGAACCATTTTCCGGAACGAGATAATCCCGGACCACCAAGCTGGCACCACGAAGCGGTTGTTCGGCAGGCCAACCGCTGAAAGCACTAAAAGTAAGAAGAAACCACATTTTAATAGGATATACTGAATACAGTAATTTCGTGTTCTCAGCTGTTTACCAACAATTTGTGGAAAGGATAGGCTATATAGCAAGGGCGATCAAGTTGCAATGTTATCGGCGAAAATTTAAAGCGGTCGAAAATCGATGAGTTCACGTGATCCGGTCAGAGAAAAGACGACCCCAGCCTCACTCGGGTTGGGCGAGGCTGATCACGAAGTGCGTTTGTTTGCACAAACTTGACTTCAACCGCCGAATCCCCGAGGCCTCAGCGAAGTGAAGTAGCCGGGGTCTGCTTTGTTTGTTGATTACCTTAAACCCACCATGTAGGTTTTCGCACACATGGCAATCAAGTACCTGGTGTGCATCAGAGATAATGGGTAGATTAGAGCCGTTTGCGACCATGTATTGCCGGAGGTGCCCTGCGATCCTCGCTGAGGGCCTTCTCTCAGTTCTGCCAGTACTTGCTACCGCAAGTACAGGTAAAGGTAGACGCACGAGACTAACTTGAGAGTCCGGTCTGTCCAAGTTGGATCTGCACAGCAGCCTCCTGCCTTGGTGTAATGTCATTGGCTCAGCCGCGTAATAGCACTACTTGCTAGATTGAAGAAGACGATGCCAACATCTGTCTACATAATTCCCTTTACACGGCAGCGTAATAAATGCATGGTCGCGGACAGCTCTGAATTACCCATTATCTCTGATGCACACCAGGTACTTGATTGCCATGTGTGCGAAAACACACTTGGTGGGTTTAAGGTAACCAACAAACAAGGCAGACCCCGGCTACTTCACTTCGCTGAGGCCTCGGGGATTCGGCGGCTGAAGTCAAGTTTGTGCAAACAAACGGACTTCGTGACCAGCCTCGCCCAATCCGGGTGAGGCTGGTGTCATCTTTTCTCTGACCGGATCACGTGCACTCATCGATTTTCGACCGTTTTAAATTTTCGCCGAAAACATTGCAGCTGGATCGCCCTTGTCTATCCTTTCCACAAATTGTTGGTAAACAGCTGAGAACACGAAATTACTGTATTCAGTATATCCTGTTAAAATGTGGTTTCTTCTTGCTCTTTTGAAGGCATTGAGTTGTTAGTCTCTTTCAATGACTGCCGCCTACGGTGTATTGCTCACATATAGTGGGAACATCGGATGAGTAATGGTGATGTTTCTGTAGAAACTCTGGTGCCTCGCTGAATTGTCTGTCAAAGTTGAACTGTTTACTTTACCCAGAGCATACCCTCTTTCTGCCTGCCTTACTCGACGTGTGTTTTGTGCTCTCGATGTGTCCAGTTGAGCAAGACCGTTAGGTGGCTAGTCAATGTCGTGCCACAAAAGCTTGAGGAAATTGGCACTTGACGTCATCGCGGATGGGCTCCCTAGAACAAGCCACACAGTGATTAGAGATCTTATCCGGCGTGAGGCAGCCGCGCAGTTAGTGGTTCGCATTCATTCCGCTTCCTCCATCTGGCTGTTAACATCCCGTTTGTCATATCATTTTCTTATTTACCTCGCTTTGCATTCTACTTCTTACCTCTACCACTTTAACCACTACTGTCGTGACGACATGATTCATGACAATTCGTTCCACCGCAGTTCGGTACCCGCATTATAATTGTTTCACTGGACGGGAATTACTTACTGTTATTTGCAAACCAACATTTCTGCTTTGCTATCTCTTCCCACTAGCTTTGCGAACGAGGTTGCTGGTGTTCCCGGACTCGGAACAACTGGCCGGGGGAACGAATTGCAAATTAGTACCTACATCGATCGACCCTTTCTCAGCGAGGTTTCTGGTAACGTTATCGATCTTTGTCCAGTGGGCGCGCTTACTTCAAAGCCCTATTCATTCACCGCCAGACCTTGGGAAACACGCCGTATCGAGTCCATCGATGTGATGGATGCCTTGGGTACTAACATTGTAATTTCGATGCGCACAAACGAGGTTCTCCGAATTATTCCTCGTTTGAACGAGGTAATTCTTCCCTTAATTTTTAAAATACTGTCTTTCGTTGTTTCTTCTTCGATTTCCGTTATCACTATCATGCAGTTTCATCTTCTGGCGTATTGTGCTTGCTCGAACTGTCGCTATAGCCTACAACTACAGATATTCCTTGAACATTGTTTGGGTAGTCGCTTTGCAATAAAGAATCCCGGTGCACATTTTTAGCTAATAACTCTGCGCATTTTTCTGACGGGGCATCGTAACATTGCTCTCATCGCAGTGTACTGAAGTCTACTAGGTTGTGATCTTCCTTAAGGTGCATGAGCTATTCACGGAGTGCAGCTTTTGAAATTACAGGGGCATGTACCGCCTTCCTCATCCACTAGTACTAGGATTCCTTGTTATTGAATTAGGTAACTCAGCCCGAGCACTGGCAATTACGTATAACCTGCGTCCGCTAGAGGCCAGCTGATATACCTGCTGCTCCTCTCAATCAAGACAACAGATTTTCGATCGTACTAAATTTGCTTAACGTCCGACCTCAGTTCCATCGAAAGCAACTACCAAGTGGATGCAATTTTTGCAAGATTTTCGTGATGCCATGCTCCTTCGAACAAACATTAGGTTTGTTGGCAAATTTCATCGGTTGTAACTCATCCCTCTTCAACAGCGTTATCTTAGGCTATAGTATTTTCAACTTATTGGCTTATGCCTTTCATTCATTCCGCATCTTAAACACGGTAGTGCGTTTAGCAAGATTGCTCTACTTTTATCGCACCAATCCTCCTGCTTTGCGCAATATACTCACTGTAACGGACAAATCACAGTCTGTCGGATTCAAGCGATGCATGCCACAGGTGCGGTCCCTAATTCCCTTGTTTTCCTGTCCCGAACTTTCATCCAGGCATTCACACCTTCCCTCATCACATCCTCTATCGATTGTCCCTCAGCCCTTCCATCCTATACTCGTTCCGGCACATGTACATTTTCTGTGTGAACGTAGGCAAGACTCACCATTCTACCCACCCGTCTTCCATATGCACTGTTCATTGGATGATCGACTGACGATTGATCACTTCGTTGTAATCCAATCCGAATGACATTGGAACCGCTTCGCTTCGGTTTGCTTATCGTTGTTGTTGTTTTGCCTGGCTTGACAGCACCTTGCACTTGAGAGCTGAATTCTTGTGTTCCTTTTGGTCTGGATATTGTTTGAAGTTTGTTACCAAATTGTTGCCTAACCATTTGTAAATAACACCGTAGCTCTTGCGGCTTTAACTTTTGTGTCCCTTCTGCATAGCATATTAACGAAGAATGGTTGGCTGACAAAGGGCGCTTCTCTTACGACGGTCTACGTCGTCAGCGCCTGGTCATACCCATGGTGCGTGATTCCAGCGGAAAGCTTCGGGAGACTACTTGGGAAGACGCTTTAGTTGCAGTCGGTGAACGCATGCTCGCTCTAATTACCGACAGGAACCGGACTCCGCCTTCTATACCTGCGAATCGGATAGCTGCGCTCGTTGGTCAGTTCGCAGATGCAGAAGCATTAACGGCCCTTAAGGATTTGGTCAATCGTTTCAACTCTGAATTGACGTGCACCGAGGAAGCTTTTCCGTGCGACAGGTATACTGTTCGTAATTGGTGCTCCTTATTTGTTCTTTCAGTCAAGTCATCGTTATCCGTTTTGTAAAACACTACTCTTTCCCACCTGTTCTTTTACCAGTGTGGATTTTAGATCAAATTACTTGTTCAACTCTCGCATTGCTGGATTGGAGGATGCCGATTTAGTGTTGCTTATCGGAACGAATCCCAGATTCGAAGCCCCGTTGCTTAACACTCGGTTGCGCAAATGCTGGATCCACAATGATCTTCAGGTTGCTCTGATCGGACCAAAAGTGGACCTGACCTACGATTACGAGGTACGTCGCCGCCACCTGTTTTGGTAAAGTTCCACTTAGCAAGATATCCTAAACTGAACCACACGCATTTGGCTAAGGCGCGATATGAGCAATTTCCTTACGTCGCTGCACGCTCTGGATTCCGTTTAATTAACCAACTGTGATTCTAACGTTAAAGCGTCATGGACACAGTTGTCCTGACTCTCACCACCATGATGATGTGAGTGAAATCGCGACAGCATGATAATCCCTGCACATTGTTAGTCTCAAACCCATTGGGTAGGAGGATAGAGAAGAGGAGCGTGAGCTTCTCGAACAAGAAGCTACGGGATCACCGACTTGCCCACTGCGCCAGTTCAGATGAACTCTCCAACTCTACTTCACTCGGGATGATCACACACCAGTCCTTTTGTCAAGCCCTCAGACGGCTGTCCTCAATCTTCATACAATCAACGCAGTGACTTCAGATAGCGCCCATCGCCAAGTCGGTCGCATGCGACTTGTGATGTCGCATTGCACCGAATCATCGGTGCGCCTCACTGACGTACTGCTGACGACTACCGATTGGTAGGCGTGGATTTCAGGTGCCCACTTGACTCGGTTCATCATCTCGGTTCTTTGGATGCAGTTTCTCATGTTTTACGTTCCCCAAAATCGGACACCCTTGGTCGCTTCTTTCAACATCACGAACATTTGCCATGGGTGTCCTATTTCCCCATTCTCTACTCAATTTTATCATGTATACTTTTATGAGGATTCCCTATCGGGATCCTGTAGTACGAGATGAGATCAAGTTGTCGAAGCTGCGCATGCCAGGTCACCGACTCCTACGATGTGCGTTATTTGCGCGCCGATGGTACGGATGGAAGAAGAGGAGGGGTGGTCAAGCTGTGACTAGTTCAAGAGGAATAAAGGCCCTTACTTCGAAGTTGGCCTCCGTTGGAACCTTTCGGCTCCTTGGTTGGGGACCAATGAACACGTTTGGCTGGATACATTTGTTGATTTGGCTAGGAGCCGACCTCACTGGCGTTTGTGTTGTGAATTTCTTTGTCTTTCCCCCTCCAACCACGATCTCATTTAGTAGGCATAATATTACTCCTTTTCGCGGCACAGTAGCCGGCTGCTAGATCTCTGGAATGATGTCCATCCGTTATTGATGACTTCGTCGGTGTGCTACTGTTTCATGTGTATTTTCTTTTCTTTTTATTGCGGCACAATAGCTGAGGTGTTTTCCACCTGCAGGTAACGTGTCTAAAGGTAATGATGTCGAAGGAGCTTTGAAAGCCATGAGCGGACCTCGTCTAAACGACCTTCACACGTGGGCTAGTCAGTTACTTGTGATCGCTTTGATTTAGAATGATAGTTAAGGGCATTGTCTCAAACGTAGCCTTATTTATGTCCTTAAATTTGACATTTTGTAATTATGAACTGCTTGTTGTTGTCAGTGACAGTGATATTTCCATTACACTTTGTCGCTGATGAGTTCTGCGTTGTTGATGTCTCTCTTTGTGATCACTTGCGATTCTCCAATCCAGTTAAGTTGCATTTTTCGTTATCGGTATGAGCCCTATCCTTGTATCTGTTCTCGTGACAATCATCATATTTGCTATTGATTCCGTTGTTCGATGATTGGTTGGTAATGTGAATCACTGTGCATCTGATACATAAACCAAAATTTTTTTCTTTGATGTCCATTGCTAACCCATTAATGTAAACTTGTTTTTATAAATATAAGCCGACTGCCCGGGGCATATGTCTGTCTGTGGCTATAAAACCTGGGATAAAAAATGAAACAGCCTATACATTGAAGCCGTTTTAGGTAACCGAAGTTCTTATGACCTGTGGAGGCTTTTGAAGCAACCCACCGGCAAAAATTCCAATGGACTGCTCGGTACTGCGGATGTGGACAAGCCCAACGCAAAGTCTAACTCCTCATCTTCAAACACACTTTCCTCCTACCTTACTTGTCTACAAAGAACTTATAAAATTGTAATCGCACAAGGCTAGTTTCTGTGATGCTCTGTCACCAGTCGCTCTGAAAGTGTACGGATGCAATCCTGTCACTTCTCAATCGACCTTAAGTGACTGGCACCATCCCCAACGTGTGGAAGGCAGCTAGCATAATACCAGTGCTTCAGAAGTATCTGTCAACAGTGTGCACTGCCGTGCTGTTGGAGGTGCTTAATAACTATTGATTTCCCGCATTTTCACAAGCACTCATCCAGGTGATATCAAGAAGTTTGCATACAAACCAGAGCGCTCTACACTGGATACCGTTCCGTTCCTTGTGCATTCCATTTCTTCTGCTTTGGATAAAAGATGCAAGGCTATGCGGCTCCTGTTCCTCGATCATACTAATGCCTTTAAAATCCTGGAGCTTTTGTGCGAAAACAGAGTTCTCTCATATGTTTGTAATGCAATGCGTGACTACTTTGCATCTCGTACACACTTCATGCGGTAGGTGTTCCGCATTCCCACTCAATTGTAGAGTTTCGCAAGGAGCTATTTTATCCCCTTTCTGTTTTCCCTCTATATTGAATGACTACCTATACTAACAAGTTTCATCGGGTGTAAATACGCTGATGACGTCGTCCTAGGGTGTATAACCCCAGCAATTGAGAAACTTTCGAAATTTGGTCAAGCTTACGGTCCCTCTGTGATGTCACTCTCTTTTCTCCACCCCCAACAGGACGCACTCCGTTTTAAATACTTCTCCACTGATTTTGTTTGACCAAAGCATCCCTCGTTTATCCACCTTAGAATATCTCGGTATTTTCTTGTTTTACAATTTACACTGGTCAACACATATTTTTAAAACTTTTCAAGAAGTTAGAAGACTGTTTTTTTACTTCCTCGGGCTCAAATTGCTGTCCGTACTTCTTGCTCGAAGGTTTGTAAATGTATGTACCCCCCTCTAGTGGTTATACTGTTTCATTGTTATTTCCCTCGAACCTCTAAATGAGTATACTCTTCTTGTGCGTTCACTAGAATTTATTTCGTGATGCCCTGGACTAAGCAAAACAATCCTTTGTTGATTTTATGATTAGCAAGCGATTTAACGCATGCTTTACTTTTTCATTCAAGATTCTAGACGACCGGTCTGGTCCCCTACACACTGCTCTAGCCAGTATGATATCTATTTCTTCCACACGGTCGATATTTAGAGTTTTATTTTCTTGTATCCTGTCGTATCACAACCTCATCTGTCTTGCTTTTTAATCGATCCCAGAGTAATAACGTATCAATTTTGAGACCGTTTGCTTTATTGACAACGAACTGTTTTTGTTTTCCTTGTCATCTTACATTATTTCCCCACTGATTCTGTGTCGTAGTATATCCGCAGTATTAGTGTTGATTGCTTAAAATGATCCCACACTGGTGCATACAGCTTGACTTGAATTGCTTCCATACCAAATTCTGCCTTTGTATTTCTGTTGCGTATGCTTGCCGACAACGCTAGTCTTAGTCCAATTGTCACTCGTCCCTTATTATTCTACATTCTTATTCGCAGTACTTGGGTCCCAGCTTGAACGTCCTCCAACAGTTGGCTTCCGGAAGCCATCCGTTTGCTAAGGTATACTGGTCGTTTATTTTTTGAATTTTGTCATTCATATACAGATGTGGTTATTTCGCAATTATTGAAAGTATCATCGATGTCTACGTCCAATGGGTTTTTTCTAGTGGAATGTGTAATCAGACACATTTCCATCGTCAATTTAGGGCTTGTGTTTTACGGGACCATTTACCATCTCAATAAGGTGCACAAAGCATGCATAACACGCGTATTTCATCGTTAATACTTACTTACTTACTTAATACTACACTTCTAAATGTAGTGAGGAAACACATGAACAGTGGTGTCCCGTGGTGACTTGTTATGTCATAATACGTTGCATTTGTTGGCAATGCGATTGGTGTATCGTCCACCTTTTGCACTTGGCTTGAAGCACATGCTGACCTGGGCAATCTCTTTAGCTGCGTTCAACTGCTTGCCGTTTGATAACAGGGAAGCATAAGACCCAAATTCTGAAGTTTTTGTGGCGCAGTTTTTCCCTTCTCCTGGCGACTGCGGCCTCCCACTTTAGGATCTATCCTCATTAGCTATCTGCGTAACTTGTGTTTCGAACCAGCTGGGAGCTTGCTAAACGGGCACCATGCGACTTTTATCCGCTAGTATGTGTTGTTTTAATGTGTTCTTCTTCCAATCACAGCGCCTTCGGTCAGCATCTTCTCCTATGATCATTTTGGGTAGCGAGTGCTTGCAGCGTGCCGATGCCGACGCGGTGCATGCTATCACTCGGTCTCTTGCTGCCAGCTTCCCTGCTCAAACTGGATTTGCTCCAGTGTTCAATGTTTTACATCGCGTAAGTCATGCTGCTTCCATCTCCTTTTTTATTCTCGTAATTGTGCCGCTGCCCACCTTCATTTTGTTAAACCATGCGTCCATCATCCGCGATAGCCTTTATCTCACCAGTTGTTTTGAGCATCAGCGTTCTTCCAGCCACTTATGCGCATGATTCACGCGTTTATGACTTGTGTGTTACCCATGCTATGGATACATCTGTTTCAGTTTGTTGCTTGTCTAGGCATTATGTTGTGCTCCATTTTCGATGATGGAGTATTTGTCACGGGATTCAGTACAATTTTATCTGCACACCTCAGTCCAGAGCAGTATTGTATAACGAATCCAGTTGGTATGATAAGATTGATTAAAAGCAACGAAATAAAGTTGGGGGTACATATGTAGATCAGACAGATGAGACCGAAGAGCTGACTTTAGCATAGTGTGGCATTCGATTTAACGGTTTGGAGAGATCAAAGATAAAATCACCACTGATCTACTCCAAGCACTTATGTGACCGTTTCCCCGAGATCTTCTCCCTGAAGACTGCACTCAGCCACTCATACTCATTTGTCGTGCCGTCGGTTGGTCATCACGGGATTTCATCCGGTCAGTACGGCAATAAACTGCTCAACTGAGCAGTATTCGATGCATTTTCGCATTGATGATTCCTTACCCTCACTCGCTTTCGTTCAGCTCAAAAGAACAACTTCGGCATATCCATCGCATCTTCAAAGTGCAGGGTTTCATTGCAAAGCTGGACCTCAACGTCGTTTTACGGACCATGGCACGTCTGCCAATTAGTTAGCTGTGAGACGTACAACGCTGCGATATGTCCGATGTCGCTGTATGGATCAAAACACTGGAACACCACTCCCATCGCACTCATAGGTTATTTTTGGCGAGTTGATACCTCGTTTACCTTTGTGAATCCAGCATGATCAAATAAAGAAAATATGCTCCATTCTCACAAAAAACCTGTTGAGCTTAGGCTAGTCGACTTGAGTTTGTGACCTTCTGACTGTCGACTCCCTCAGACTGTTTTGAAGGAACAGATCCATCTGTTACTCCTGAATGTGCTGAGTTCAAATCGGTTTGGTTCTGAACTTCTTGACTCACCCGATAGAAGGGGGTCTGCAGAAACAAATGCCTCACTAACCGTGAGGTTACGCAAACTTTTGCTTGTTGTTGAGGTCCGACTACTCGGTGCTCCTGTGGTTCATTCTGATTGGGACGATTTTGGTGAACTTAGTGCGCGTTGTTCGTGACATTGTGTTTGTTACATCCTGTCTTTCTCACTTACGTTTCTTTCCAGTCTGCAAGTCAAGTTGCGGCCTTGGATCTGGGCTATATTCCACAGTTGGATCCGATCAAGAAGGAAAAGCCAAAAATCCTGATCATGCTTGGCGCCGATTGTGGCAAGATTACCCGCACCGACTTGGCGAATGATTGCACGGTTATTTACGTGGGTGAGTGATAGTTGTGCGGCCACTTCGTTCTATTCAACTTCTTCCTGTATGCACACTTAATATTTGTCGGAGTTCGTCCAGCAAAACCTTGGACTTAAATCTCCCAACTCGTTTTTTAGGTCCAAGCATCTTAGTTAAATTAAATGAACAGCGGCTCCGCAGGGTTTCAGAAACCGACTGTCACATGAGCAGGCTCAATGCCATCACCTCGGAAAAGAGGAATGCTCTTTGTGCGCTTTCCGTCGCATCGGTTCAGTGTAATACAAATTTACTTTACTCATTTCTACAGTAGTGCGAGATTGGATGTTGATTGTTCATACGGTGTCTTTTTTCTTTGTAGGCCACCATGGAGACAAAGGAGCCCAGATGGCCGACATAGTGCTTCCAGCTGCCGCTTATACCGAGAAGACCGGTATCTATGCGAACACAGAGGGAAGGGCCCAGCAAACACGACCTGCCGTGCTGCCGCCAGGCATGGGGCGTGAAGATTGGCGCATATTCCGGGCCATATCAGAAGTTGTCGGAATGACGTTGCCTTATGATAATATCGAACAGCTACGGAACCGTATTGGGCAAATCGCTCCCTGTTTACTTGAATTTAATACTACTCCTGATGCGTCACGAGAGACGTATTTGTTGGCTAACCAACACTCAAAGGTTAGTGGTGTTTTCAGAGACAAAACTTGACACTCCCGACTTATATAGTCCCTTAGTTTCCCTGCTCTTTGTATATTATAAGTCCAATCGCTTATTAGACTGAAACAGCCATAAAAGTAGTAGTCGTACCACCCATTCGAAGTCCGTGAAACCCGTTGCAACAAAATTGGACCTTGATTCGCTGCGATGTCTTGCACTGGGCTCAATTGATTCTGAGAGAAGCCATTTCACAATGCAGCTAAACTAAGTGCTCGTGCGTCCTGAGATGTTGATGTGGTGTTCTGCAAATAAATGACACACGGGACGACTGGGCTGAGACGATCAGATTGACGGTATTCAGCAAGCACATTCGCAAATTCTGTGTCAGTTACATGAGTATCAGCGTGATGCCGATAGTGACATGCTTACCAGACTCCGCCGCCTTTGGAGGGAACGGGGATCAAGGATGATAGAATAGCACGCAAATTTCCGGCCGGGACAGGGTTGTATTGACATTACTGTGGTGATTTCCGGGGCAGTGTCGCATAACAAGCCGGCTGCCGCCATGCCCTCCCCGATCCAAAAGGTGCGTTTGATCCCGTCGATATTTGTTCTGGCCCAACTGCTCACTCAACAAGGCGTCCTCGTGAAACATCGAGCCTCCTTCATAGTCGAGCGCCTTAGAGTGTACTACATCACCTCTCATTTTTGTGCATCCTATCCACTCAATTTTTGCGGACTCCATCGTGGAGTGTATCCTAGTTGTCTCACTTTACAGTAATAAGGATGTCACCTGGGAGAAACGGACGATATCGTCTTGCTATTTGGTGAACTCTGTGGACTGTATGTATGTGGACTGTATGCACTTCGCGCCCCCCATATTGCAAAGCGTCGTTGCAGGATTCCCAATCATTTGATAACGAAGGGTACTTGGGGATAGTTTATCAATTCCATTTATCTTAGTAACTGTATTGGAAAGCGCTATTGTAATGCGCAATCAAATCTCCTCAATCAACTAAGGTGCCAAGAGTAAACACGCACAGTATGAATCGTTTGTATACCTGGATGAGGCCAGCAATGCAGTCAATTGTGAATTTCTTAATTCCGTTTATTTTTCAGACCAAAGCCGTTTCTGCAAAGTGTAGCTCAAATCAGCCAATATCCCTGAGTCTTCTCGAGCTGTCTGATTACTACATCACCGACTGCATCAGCCGTGCCTCACTTACGATGGCAAAGTGTGTCAAGACGTACGAGGAAATGCGACATGAGTAGACCCCATCTTGTACATACGTTAATTTCCCACTTTATTTATTTCCGTTAGATCCATAAAATAAATGATCATCCTAACTCTGTTCAGCTTTATTGAGTCGATTAATGCTTAGTCGACCAATGCAATGCACACCATTTAGCTAGCAGCCTCCTCCAAATCGCCTTATACAGTGCTTTGTTTTATCAACAGAGGTGGTCACTTGTGGTCCGGTCGCCAAGCGGTAGTTGCAATAGTATGACGAGTTCTTTATAGTAAGTTGCCGGCATCGCCTCTGGGGTGTCTTATATTGTGGGTGACGATCGCATGTATAGGCAGCGCCTTAAACGTGTTGCGTTACGGATCTCAAATTGTCACTGGTGTTGATGCGTATGCTGAGTCACAAATGGGATGCAAACGCCGCCAATCGATGCGCAGCGTTTCCATTTCACTGATGGAGCTTCGGATAAATTCCGCATCCAATAAGGATAAGAACTAGTGCCGAAGAAGGCTGCTCGGTGCGCCTCCAAGCTGCATCGTCACCGTGGTTGTTATATCGTTTCTATTCGAATGAACCAAATGACCGTTTCCTATTCTTTCACACGTACAGAGCAGATGAATGGAATCCACATCAATTACGGCCTCGCGAATTATGACCGCTGTATGGAGGAAGGCTTACACGCACGCACGCGACGGTGAACCATGCGAATGGTCTGTGGGCGGGAGAGTGAAAACTAACTTTGAGCGCTTGTACTGGTTCAATTGGACTCGAACACAATGTTGCACGTTTTTGAATTCAAATCAAATCGTTTAGAGCATATGCTTGGTCAGACGAGGGTGGTGTACGCTGAACCATGCTTGATTTTGTCGTGTCTGCCACATAGACATAGTTTGCGGAGAACACGATCTCCGTTTTCGAAAATCGTTATCTACGTCACTATTTAATACCCAATACAGATACGACTGTCTATAATCGACGTCTGATGAGCGATCAAATGGGAGTCACACGAAATCTGACAAAAGTGATTCCATCTAACAAACGCCAAGAATATGGTGGTTGTGAAGTGTGCGAATACTGAGAATAGAGAGCGAGAAGGTAAAAATCTGTCTTGCTCCATCGTAGATGGATCGGGCATATGCGCGGAATCACGTCGCTGACTTCAGCATGTTGCAGCTGCACTACATCTTATCCGGGTGCGATACGCTCCCTATACCTGTAGTCCGCAAAATGGGCGTCAAGGAATCTCTTAAATTCCGACACCGATTTCGCCTCGACTACCGTCTCCGGCAATTTGTTCCAATATTTCACCACTCCACACTGGAAGCATAGAGGGTGGGCAATGTGCTTTAAATCCGGTACCACTAGTTTATACTGGTGTCCGCGCGTGCTGTTTGGTGTGCAAACATGAAGCAGCAGCCTGGGAAGTGGTCCAGGTGCGTCATAAGAAGATCAACTCGAAGCCGACGATATGACTGGGTATAAAGCCCTGGTCTCCTACATCGGTCCTCGTACCATTCACCCCGTAAACTGGGGATGAGCCGGATAGCTGCATGCTGGACTCACCTCACCTAATAGGCGGGTGAGCCGTACTCAAGCACCGGTCTTATTACGGTAGTGAACAGACGGATAGCAATCACTTCAGAGCAAATGCAGAAGTTGCGTCGAAGTACCCAAAGCAGGAGTAGTCCGTTTACGTACAGTCTGTTTGTGTTGTCGATGTACCTCAGATCACAGCGTGAGAGTGCGTCTAGACCACTTACGGAACTGGTGGGATGCAGCCGGTCGCCCATTACTACCCCTCCCCCGACTCATAAACGAAGATGTGGCTGTGTTGACCGTTAGGTCAACTTCTGCAGACCACCGAGATAAGCGGTCGGAGTCCTGCTGAAAGACGTCACAGTCGCCGGGAGAATCAATAATCCTCCAAATCTTCAGTTCATCCTCAAATAATGAGGTACTTCGTTAATGTGGATCAGAAAAAATGGGCCCCTGTACTGTGCCTTGGGGTACGCGGCTAGTGGACCGGTACCATTCCCTTCAGTAGTCATCCACCTGAACCCTCTACCTCTTAAAAAGGAAGTCACTGATTCACTTGTGCAGTGCGCAACCAACACCACAAATCCTTGACTTGTGGAGCAGGACCTCATGGTTCATTTCATCGAAAGCTTTACTGAAACCAATGTAGATAACATCCATTGAGTTCCCACGATTCAACACTGGCAACTATTCCTGCTACATCAATAGCAGATTGGTGATGCACGGGCGGCACTTCATGAAGCCGTACTGTGACGGCATTAGGAGATCTTGACTCCAGCAGCTGGAGAAGCCCTTTTCACAATCTTCTCGAGCACCTTCGTCAAAACGGAGGTGAGACAAATCGTCTGGTAATTGTTCACATTGCGTGGGTCACCACGTTTTGGAATCGGCTTCACTACTGAGCATTTCCAGTCGCTCGGCAGTGCACCCTCGAACAACGATCTGTTGGACAGATCCGTCACGGCAGGCGAGATGGCCGATAATGGTTTCAAAATTAGCGGGTGAAGTCTATCGGGTCCGGTAGGTTTTGTGCCATCAAGACGAATGCAACCAAAGACCGGAACACATTTGTGCGTCACTGAATAGCGGCGAACTTTAACCATAGGGGTAGAGATTTCGGCTACCATTCCAATGGTCGCGGGTTCGAGAACTGCTATCTCCACCTGATGAGATGAAATGACATCGAAACGCGTCGTGGTTGTGCAATATTTTCGGACGAGCAACACCCAATTCCCATCTGCTTCGACTATGGTCGCAGTGATCAAGGTTCACTTCAATGTGAATCGCCGTCCACAATGAGATTGCGCGTCGCAATCCAATCACACAACGTGTACTCCAAAATTGACCCTCCAATTCAGCATTTTTTGTTTTGTTGTACCAGACAAGCCTGGTGGGTCAGTACGCTCGACCGGTGGCTTCACGCTGGCGATTTCGATTGCTCCACCTAAGAACGGTGAGGGATGTTTATCTGGCGAAGCTAATCTGATTCGGAATCGCTCAAACGCGCGAATTCTCACTGTTGTAGTTGCTCATAACGCAATTTTGTAATGACGATAACTAATGTGCGAAGATGAATTAAGACCAAAAATTATGCGGGGTTCATCGCCGAGTGATAAGTGATCAAGAAAAATAGGAGATAGCGGGTTACCCACGTGATATATAAACACAGGAGTACAGGTGGAACACGGAAAGGTAGATAGTAAATTGACACAAACGTATATTGCACGGGTTTGATTGTTTAGAATGTGCTGTGTGCTGACCAAACGAAAAGTCCAATAGTGGACACTTTGATGGTAGTCCAATATGGTGACCAACCATGCAGGAATGGCAGTATTGCGATAAAATGAAGGATAGAATTATGTGATGAATAAATGATGAGCAACGCTAGCTACATTGCATGAGTTGCCCCGGTTCGATCAGATTAGTACACCTGGATAGAAGATCGTGACGGCACGCTAATTCCGGCCGGAAATGTCGGTCGTTTGACTGCATAACACGCTGCCATGCTTTGCGAATCTTCAGTTGCAGAACCCTCCGTGTGGGGTAACGTAACAAGCGACGTCGCTGACAATTTACTATTGTGAAAATGGATAAAAAGCAAAGCTAATGAGGTGACAACGGAAACGCTTTTGTTTGATATCTGAGCATAGATCTAGTTTCGGTACAATTAAGGTTACAGCTACTCATTTGACATTCGCCTTATAAGAAATGCGATAAAATATGTCAGATGCACTATTACATTAGCATGCATATTGAGAAGCATACAAGGCGACTGCGACATTGTTTCGGTGCCTGATGTGAGAGTGACAAATCTGCAATTTCCCGCAGGTCGTTCATATTGTGTGCGCACCACTGTCTTGAGTTACTACATTTCGTGATTTCCACACAAAAAGGTCCGACAAAAAGTCATGGATACCATTTTGGTTATGGTACATTATCGTATTTGGTCTCGAGGATTTCCTTGATTGTCGATTGTACCACGGTGGTTTCCATCATCTAACAGATCCTACCAGCAAAGTATAATTACTAAGATTCTGTCAGATCCAAGAGTGGTGACGTCGCGGCTATGCAATCACAAGCAAATAGGCCTATAAAATCATATATATATATATATATATATATATATATATATATATATATATATATATACTTCCACGCCAATGCTGATTCGCGGCAATATTGAAGATTGCACTTCCGGCGAAGGTTGAAAGAGACAGACAGTTTTGGTTGCATTGATGGTGAGCCCGAATTTGGCCGCTGTCGAAGTCAAAGCACTAGTCATGTGCTGCAACTCATCCGCGCTGTGTGCAAACAACGCACAGTCGTCAGCAAACAGCAACATACGGATAGTTGTCTCACAGACAAGAGTTCTCGCACCGAAACGACCGATGTTCAGCAACCCACCATCAATACGATGCTCCACGCGAACACCGTAAGCACAAGCAGTATCAAAAGGACGAGTTATCATTGCATCAAGATATATATTAAACAGGGCAGGAGCTAAGACACAGCCTAACTTCACACCAGCGACACCTGCAAAATCATCCGAGGTCTCTCCACTCACCCGCACCCCCGCCCGCATTCCTTGGTGAAATCAACAAAAAGCGAGTACAATGGCTGGTGTCGTTCTCTGCCGCAAACACCATATCTATAGTGCCGCGACCCACGTTAGGTTCCACAACCTGACTGACAGGACGGTTGAGCAGGATTCAGGCAATCACCTTGCCTACACAACTCAGCAAGTTGATGCCACGATAATTCGCGCAACATTACTTGCTCCCTTTGCCCTTGTACAGTGGTAGCACGAGGGCATCCTTCAACTCAGGAGGCACCTCCGCCTCAATCCATACGTGTTACATCAAGTGGTGTAGCACAGTCAACGCGGGTCCGCCGTGTTTCAATACTTCAGGCGAGATCCCGTCGGCCCCAGCACAATGCTGTTTCGCAGCTGAGCAAGTGATCTCTGCGTCTTATCCAGTGTCGATGTGGCCGCCAGATTCGCCTTCACATCGTGCTGCTTGAGGCAGTTCAAAGTAGGCCAGTCAATCTCTGAACGGTTGTTCAAGAGACAGTCGAAGTGTTTCCGCCAGATCTGCATTATGTCTGCAGTCTGTGTGCAGGTAGCGCCTGAGATACCGTCGATCAGCGGCCCCAATCTCGGTCCATACACCGCCTTCAAGGAGTCAAAGAATTCCTTGTGTTGGCGGCGCTCGACGTAGCCTTCAGTCTGCTTCGCCTTCTCCGTCCACAATGCATTTTTAATGCGACGGAGCTCTCGGGTCAGTCGCCGTCGAAGTTTGCGAAACTGACTACTCTTCCCCAAGTCATTGGGATCTGCCACATGTGCAGCAAATGCTGCATTCTTCTCCGACACCAACGCGCCAATCGTCGCATTGTTCTCATCAAACCAATCAGGCCGCTTACAGTTTGCGCGCCCGATGGTCTCCTCGGCAGCAGCTGTCACCTGATCGCGAATGTGGTGCCACAAGTCGCCCAATGTGCCTATGCACTCCACATCACACAGTCGTGCAGCCATCGCCTTCTCCAGATCAATACTTTTCTCCACAGTACCGTGGGGGAGAATGTTAAATTTACGCCGATTCACGGCGGGAGTGCAATACATCGATTTACGAAAATATATGTACAGTTTGGTCCGCACCACTTTGTGATCAGTGCCACACTCAGCTCCACGCAGTACACGTGTCATGCGCACTTCATGCATATCACGATGACAGGTGAGCGTGACCACTCCGTGAGTACGTTCAAGTTGCTGTATCACTCGCACTCAGTGCAAACCGAGTGGTCATGATCGTCAGGCACACAGTGAGAGCATCCTGGCACCGTTCGCATTCGCTAAACTTATGCAAGGTGGACCGATGCAGCACGCTCAACGCGCGCATTGAAATCACCCAGCAGAAATGGTCGCTCCCCGGCACAGACCGTAACACGGAGGACAGCTGGGCGTAGAATTGATTACGTGTTATCAGGATAACACATGGTCGGACCGTACGTGCTTATAAAAATGGCAAACTTACCTCTTCCGAGTCCTAGGCGGACAGCCATCAATCACGCGCTGACGCCTGTTGGTTCACCCACCAGTTGGCCATTTAGGCGATCGGACATCGTAAATCTGACCCTATGATCATGTGGTGCTGAGGCGGCTTTGCCCACCCGGTATAATGTGTAGCCAGCACCTGCTTTATGCAACTTGCCTTACTCAGCGAGCCGAGTTTCACTGAGCGCCGCAATATCGATGTGGTAGCGCGCCAGTTCCTTCGCGACTAGTGCACTGCGTCGCTCGAGACGGTCACTCGAGTTCCGGTCCAGTAGTATGCGCACGTTCCAGCACCCGATGCTGTTTTGCGAGCGGGCATACAATTGCAATCACACGCGAGGTGGCGGTTGTGCTTCGGAGGTTTGCTTGAGTGACTCCACCCGGAGCCTTTGGCTCAATAGCCTGACCCACAAGGCGGTGGGGAGCAGATCCAGCTCGGGAATGTGATTGCAGAGAAAGATTGGGATCTGCTTGACGGCCGTCACACGCAGCCTTTGAGGTAATGTAACGATTCATATATGTTTTGCAACCGTAGTAGGATACGCACCTGCGACCATGGCTAGACGTAGGTGGGTTTGCACTAATTTGACCAGGGGCTGCCTGGTTTGAGGCGGACAGTAGCAAACTATTGAACACTCGGTGGTGCCCTCCCACCGTCAGAGACAATGCGTGGCGCTCGTGCTCTATGCCAATCGAGCTGTGAGCTGATAATCTATAGTCCTGTTGTCTCCCATGGCTAGGTTTTACGGGAGGAGGGCCATTGACTACTTCCTAAGCTATATATATATATAAATATATATATATATATATATGTGCGTGTGTGTATCAGTCATGTACAATTAAGTTGTATTTAATTCAATTTGACAGCTAAACTGGAACAAGGTCAGAGCTTCAGGCCCTTTGCAAACGTACCCCTAGAGGGTGGAAATTTGAGTTCTTTAGTGGTTAGTCAAGATGCAAGGTCAGCGAACCCCAATTAGTCAAGCTAATCTGAATAAGACCGATGGTTGAGCAAGTTAAGTACAACTAAAAGCGTTCAGTTGGATTTGTTTTCGTTTTACAATGGTGCTCTTCTGAGATAACTTACTACTGCAGATTAGGATAGTGACAGCGCTGAATGTATGATCCCAGAGCACATGAATGACGCAGGAGAAAAAAGATATGGTACTGAAAGACAAAATGAGGATTAAGTGGAGCCCGATAACCTAGGTGCGATTAGCTAAATTGCGAGAAAAGCGTCCCCCATGACATTACCGATGGCAGCGCGTGATCAGATGGATAGCCAACACCGCATTTATGGTTCATCAACAGAGATGAGACTGACCACATATCAAATTAAGAGGGGGATCCGTTGGAAACGGAGAAAGGTACAGCACAATAACTCATAAGTATCATGTGCGCAAGATTCAACAGAACTAACCGTGGACTGTTGCGCTTTGTGGGAAAGGGTTCTCCTCCGCTTCTGAGACGGCCTCAGGTACTGAAAAGTTGACATTACGTCCCGACTGGGGTGATTCTAGTGCATCCAGGAATTCAAAAGCACGGGCCAATAATTCCAATACAGAGACTGATGGCGGGTTTTTGATTTGTTTCCACATAGCCTTATCCGAACCTGAAATGTTGGTGCCATCTGCCAGTTGCCCAGAAGCTAAATATTCACTACTGAACTGATCTGGGAAGCATGGAACAGTCGAAAGGTGCCTCAGTACGTGCGCACTGATGGCATCCCTTGCACTGGTAGCGAGCTGCGACACTTTGTTGCGGTAGTTATAGCTATTTCTGATGGTAAACAGACGTCCCTTTTGGTCTCCATAAGTTATTTTCCGTAAATTCTCGGTGGACCATATCCAGTTGAGATAACGCTGGAAGTGTGCAGTCTTTAGAGGAAAATAGAAATGCAAATTGTACATGATTAATGCATCCTAGTTATATACTATCGATTGTACAACAACAAACAATCTCGTGAGCTAGTCTTTTAAGGAGCACCTAATCAAGCAGCATCTCTTATCACCGGAGCACGATCAACCTGTCGTTTTCGTTCGGATGCAGTCTGTGCACTCGGTCACGGTGGTGTTTTGAGATGAGTGTATTCACTGGACATCTAATCTGTTTTTCTGCACTGATTAACGTGAAACCACGGATGTGTATCGTTGGATTTCACGTGGGTCTTTCGAAGCTGACTTGGTGCATCAGATTCCGGCAGGAAAGTAGAATTGTAGCAAAGGAAAAAATCCAAATACAGATTTTTGATTTGGATGTGAGCGAAGATGGTGTGACGCTGAATGACTACCATGCTGTTAATTTTAAACACAAGCCTGACAATGAGCCGGTACAATCAGTTAGTCGATAAACGACTATACGAAAGGTGATATTTTAATGAGTAAGGCCATATAATGTCAGCACATTGCATGTGTTGACTCCTAGCCTGCCTTGTAATCCGAGGTCGAGCGTTCGGGCCTGCGTAGGGACCGGGCGACCCTCGCAGTGTTCTTAGCCCACGTGCGACTGGCGGTGGCTGCGCGGTAGCGAAGTGTCCGTACTACGTACCGGCGTGCTGCGGATGTCTTTCTTTTCTATACACAAAGTAGATATGCAACTGAAATGGTATCTGCAAGTGACAAAGTGACATGACCAATCGTTGCCAAGAACGCGGAACAAGTTGGCCATGTGCAAGTGGAGTTATCCTCAACAAGTTTACAGAAGTTGCCGAAATATGCATCCCGAGTGGCGCGACATGACAACTGGTTACCGGGTATGCACGGGTTATGGAGTGGGACAGTCTCTTAGTGGAGAAACCTGTGCACAAGTTTCGTGCATTGTGCGCTCAAGCTAAGTGGAGATTCAGCAGCGTTAGGTTGTGGGGGTGCAGGCTTAATGTTTCGTCCACAGAGATGGAAGTTGGCTCCACTATTGCGCGGTGACCCATGTGCCTACGTAGCCAACAGGTTTACACTGGCGAATGCCCCCCTCGTATTTTCAGAGATACTAAGGCCAGGTGACAGGAAACAGTCACCCTGTTTTCCAGGTCAAGGTTTGGTCTATGAGTGTATTCACACTGTTTTGTTGGTGCTCTCATCCGCTGGAATTGGTCGATAAAGTCATCTACCTAGGAAGTTGTCTTAGTATTGGCAGTTTGATGGATGAGATTTCCTTGCAACATTGAAAATAGTTGGTATCAGTGCAAACTGCCATCACGATGGAGCTCGAGCGAAGTAAGAAAAAAGACAGTCGTTAAATCGCCTGGTAAATCAAGGCCGCTCACGTTGCCAAGAGACTGCTGCGAAGTTTCTCGATTTCAAGGATGCATTTGACTAAGTACCCTACTCTCTAATCCTGGGCAAGGTTGTAATCGAAGTTTCTTCTTTAAAACATACCAACACCAGATTTACCATGCATAATGAATCAGCTACGAGTTCTTCAAAAAGACATCGAAAATGACTCAGCAAGAGGTGCATGTGCTTAGCTGGTTTTCGACCGACCGTCCGCCTGCACTAGTTGTTCAAATTTCAGTGGGCAACTGAGTGTATAGAAAGCTGCACCGTAAGTCACCCAGAGGTCGTTTGGTTTATCAAATCCGAAGAGCGGTGGAAGGACAATCAGTCGCCATAATGACGGCAAATGAGGATAGGGAGAAAAGAGAAAGTTACAGAAGCATCACTAATTCGTTCACACTGGCTTTTGACAATTGAGAATGAACGTCCAGCTGAGGTAGCCTAGCGCCAAAATTTGAGTGCCGAAATACGTTTGCGTGAGATGGCAAACTAGAATTTCCATCTTAGGGATAGTGCAACGCAAATGAGGAGAATGGGAACAGAAGGGAATTACCTTGTCTACTGACTGCGAAATCTCAGCTACATCTTCTAACCATATTCTACGAATGGCTTTGAGTGTCAGGCACTGTAAGTTCTGTTCCCCGAAATTTGTGTAGCAGGTCATGTCAGAATGCCCGTTCAGCTACCGAGAGAGTGCATTTGCATTCGTATTCCTGTGACATGTCGCGCTAACAGGAGAATAAGGCTATCTGGCTGCCGTAATTCATGGTTGATACGCAAAGGTTGGCTAAGCTGTTTCAGCGTGTGTTTCAACACAATGGTAGTCCAGGAACAAAAAATTCTAAGCCACGATAATGTCATGGGAGAAAAAGAGAAGACATCTAGAGCGAGAACAAACCGATTTGGCAGTGGCGTATCCTAGAGATGGTTCAACACATGACTTTTGGTTATTCCCACCATATGCAGCTTCTTTTGTGGTTGCACCTGAAAAAATACGTAGAAAAAAAACGAAGGAAAGCTAGAACCTAGCTGTGGCAGAAATTTGCGTGAAGAAATGAAAAAGGATTAAAGTATCCATCGACCAGAAATTCCGTAGACCAAAACAAGCACAAGTTAGGAAAATTCATACCAAGATTCAAGGGAGTGACATGCTGCGTAGTGTATCCCTTATCTGTCAAGCGTGCCCCGTAATACATCTCATTCTGTGGTACATGGTCATTTTGCACTGGATCGTTGTCGTCACCAGAGTTTTCAGAAGGATGGAACCTTTGAGACCAGTGTGCTTCATGGTTCTCCGAATCCAGTTTACCGGGGCCACCTTGCCCGTAGTCGTTGGAACCACCGTCTTCGCCAAAATCTTGGCCTGCAGATTGGGCGCGTTCCTCTCTTGAAGAGTGACCAACATCAACCAAGACAGGTAGGAGAGCCAATGGTGTTGAAATGGAAGTAATTGGACTACTATATGGCACTCGTTGTGGAACCCAATTGGGGAAATTGAGTGCAGAAGTAAAAGTGGATACAGACGGAATCGAGGTGCCTAACGTAAGAAGCCGCGATTTGGAAGCTGCAGATGGCGGCGACAGAACTGCCGATGGCGAGGGAACAAAAGGAGTCGCACCAGGTGAATTTACACAGGTAGGAAATTGTCGAGGTCCTGATGATGATGATGATAAGGACTGAAAATGGCCGAAAGAAGTGATATTTCCAGGGGCGTTTTGATGAGAGTCCACGGAGGATGTGAATGCAGTGACAGCGGCAACACAACTCAGAGCCCTGACTTCCTTCCCCTACAGAAAAACAAAAAGAGAGAGTAGTACACAACACCTAAACATAGAACTTGCAACTAGAATAGGCAAGTGAGGGTCGTTGTCAATAGGTGTTGTAAAAATCGCGCTCCAAGGGCAAGTCGGCGAAATAGCACGATAAAGAGAACGATCATGGAGCAGCGACCATAAGAAGGTGCGATTGAAACGGTTGCACGTGGACATTGTCGACAATTAGATCAGTCGGATACGCAAGCAATGAACTTCGTGGATGCTACAGATGACCACTTGCCGAACAGCGAATCACGCTCACCTTCATGGACAAGTGCCGTGAGCAAAAGCCGCGGCGCTGTGATTCCTTGGCGCAGCCTTCCCGACTGCACAGACGACGCCACTGCTTTCCGTTGAACTTCTTCCTAACCCCACTGGGGGTCTTGACGATATCACCCTAGGGACAGTGAGGATAGCGACGGTTTATTTATGCATCGGTAAAAATGACGCCCCATGGTCATTTAACGAATGGTTGGAAGAATACTAAATTTTGTAAAACAAAGACCAGCAGCGAAAAAAGCTAAGTCGCGTTAAAACCGGATATATATTATGGTAACAGGATGTAACAGGAATGCTTAGTTTTCTTTACATCAATCATCCGTCAGTGTATTTCGTGCATGGAGTTCTTATGTGATGTTGGTATACAGGAAAAAGACAATTAAAGTTGGGCAAATAAATTGCCTGTAAATACCGCAAGAATACAGGATGTGTCGGATAGAATCGCACGATCTGACTAACGGTGAGAAAGTCTGGTTATCAAAATCAATGAGCTGGATGGCAACCGCTGTTTGTCTGGCCGGTGGTCGATGAAGAAGCAATCCCGGTGGCCTGGACTGTTTGGCTTACCGAATCAACTTGCACGGTGCCCACTAGTTTCACTTTTAAAGCAACTGGACGTTGCTACTGTGGTTTGCTTTTAGGACAAATATTACGTTGGCCGCCGGTACTCAATGGCATAGGCGTGGAAGCTTCAACTGACAACTCAAATACCCATAAGAGTCGTAGTCTTGCTATCTCTCTTATTAGTGCAAAGGAGTACGAAACAGCTGATGAAAGTGCAATGTTGCGGACGGTCAACACCCAATATTCATCAACACTATCACATCCTTGTGACCAGTGTGTTGTTGAGTACCTACGTGATCCGTATCTGCTCGATATAGTTAAACGACGGTGGCCCCAACACCGATAGAAAAGCAATACCGAATGGGACCTCTGGTTTGAAGGACGACTGAGCTAGCTGGTTAACGTTAGTCCGGAAGTTGGTGACAATCTTCTCCAGTTAACACCAAAAAAGGAAACAGAGTATTGGCGACGGGGTTGGTAGGTATAGCATACACTCTGTTTATCCGTTTTCAGAGAGCAGTCATGTTCAAGGCTCCCTATTTCTAATATTTTCAGGGTACCGTGGTCCAACGGGTAGTGGGATAAGTCGAGAGAAATCCACCATAAAACTCTGATCCGTTGCCATGGTAGAAAGGTGCAGACTATAGAGTCCGAAATAGAGCTCCTTGAAGCTGGCTATATGCAGTACCGGGAGATTCAGAACAACCCATGCATTATTTATTAAAGATATTATACGATACACTCGTGACCATGACCAATCGCAGCTAAAATTTGGTGACACTGTGACCAGTTGTCTGTGTGAGCTGGGTGGCAGAAAACCAGCGGTCAACGACGGTGCGTATGACATGAGAGTCTTTCACCAATATATCAGGGCTGGTAACATTTGTCGCCTATGACTAAGCTCATAGGGAAGACAGACGCCGCTCTCCAACCAAACTCCGATGAGAAGGACCTCGAGGCAGACAAATGACCCCATTGGAGTGATGGCTCTAAAACGCTTGTGAAGTTCCATATAGGCACAGAAAATGTCGTATGTGGTGGGATCCGAATTAAGAAATAGCAAAACTGAAGAACTGATACAATTTCGTTAAAAATTGCCGAACATGTTTTCTGGCTTTGTGATTAGCGCGCAGACGAAACACCAAGCCTTCCATGGTAGCAAGTAACGCACCTATCGTAAAACAGTTGACTAACAATCGATTTTATGTGATCTTATTTTGTTATCTGCGTGTACATGGCCGATGAGAATGCACGAAATGACAGTGTCAGCCCACAGCATTCGTCTTCTGATACTCTTACTTGAAACAAAATAAGTAATCAACGCTTCATAGGACAGGAGATCAGAGATAACTAATCGAAAGTGTACTTAGATCCATTCTAGATTGACCAGTGAAAAAACGAATGAATTTCATCTGATTTCAGATGTCCATGTCACCACTTTCTCGTAACAATGGATTAAGAGCTTTGACAATCATCAATAGGTCTGGTGGACAGATGCGGTCGACTTATCGACGCAGTGATACGATCCTGTTGTGCCGGGTGTTTTGGTATTCCAACAAGGTTAGTTGCAATTGGACTCAGACAGGCAGGCAGTACGCATCGGGAACAGCGCTACATTGCGGTTTCGTCCTGTTGAGACTCCTTTGTGGTGCACATCGGGCAGATGCGGTGAACAACCAGCAAGTGGAGACCGTCACAGTGAGAACACCATGCGACAACATTGGCGCTGATTAGTGACAGTAAAGTCAAAAATAAATCGCGAAAAACAAGAGCTCGTGATGCAGTTCAATGTTGGCCGTCAACAGTCATTGTGTGCGAATCGAAGTGCATTCAGAAGAGAAGCTCAGAGTTAATACTATATCAAGCCAAAGCAGAAAGCCAATCATAGAAGTCAGTGCACAAAAAAGCTAACGTTCAGACAAACGTGTCACTGTGATGTGTAGAAATTTGCGATTTTCACAGAGAGACCGAATCGAAATTCGGTGTCTAATCATTAGCTGTAAGTAAATCAGCTTCCGAATGCAAATCGAGATAAAAAAAATACTTAATTCAGGGACAATATGTTAACATTACAGAAAATCTAAGTAAAGACAGGACACATACATAACAAATGACCCAAGACTTGCTTTTCGAAAACGGTGTTGGGAGGCCAAGGAAGGATGGGTCAGACTCAATATGTTTGGATTGCTCCACTTAGCTTCTCCTGAAGATAGGATAGCGGTAAGAGAAGTCTCGCTTCGGCAACATGAGGAAGACAGGGAGAACGAACCTGTAACCTTGGTGTATTCCTTGTTAGCCGATGTGATGTTACTTTGAGGAGAACTGATCCGCGGAGGCCGAAAGTAACTATAGGATGACGTGGGCGAGTGCATCGCAGTATAACCAGCAGGATGTGAAAGTTGTAGAAAAGTAGGATGAAGAGATGCAATGGAATGTGCGTCTTCGGACAAGGAACAAGTTGTCGCATGTTCCGTTGACAGTGGGTGCTCGATACTTACAGAAGCCAGCGAAGAGGGGACCGCCATTGGTGGTGAAGGCACGATCCCAATAGAATGCATTAACCCATGCAATCTATTTGAAAGTGCATGCGTGCTCACTGGTGGAATATGGTCTGGACAAAAACGGAAAAGCATGAGAATTGGGCTGGGATACTACTACCGATATAACAATAGAGGGCGAGCGTACAATTATGATCAGAGAAACATAGGTAAAGCTTATTTATCACAAACGAATAGGAACATCGCACCGATGCTTCTCTGCCACGTGACCACTAGCGATTGCACGCAGGCTCGGAAACAGCGACGTCATGCATGCCTACGTAGGTCCGAACCGGTAACCTGTGAATTACAAGCCAAATGTCTGAACCACATGATTAAAATGACTGTGAGATCAATAGGTAAGAGTTGAGGGAACGGAAGAAAACATGACACTATCACTTTTGAGTGAGGTTTCCGATATATATATATATATATATATATATATATATGTATATATATGTATATATGTATATATATATATGTATATATATGTATATATATATATATATATATATATATATAGTGACGTCTTCATAGCCAATGTACTGAGCCCTTTCGTTGCCTGCATCCGCTGGCGTGTTTCACTAACCCGATCACTCATTTAACGTTTGGCCTAGCTTAGAATAATGGATTAATGCGCTGTACAACATGTCGGATAGAATACAGTTTTGCTTTCTATGTGCCTGACGTGTTTGCTTTGTGATACTTCGGCTAAGAGCCAGCCACTGTGCGTTAGTTCCGCAAGTGCTAAACGGTGACATTTTGGAGAGGAGGTTAAAATTGGAATAAACTGCTACGAGCAATCTTACCTAGCCTGATCCCCTTTGGAATGACACGTCGTCCAAGCTATCCTTAACAGTTTGGAATCGAACCTTTTGTGACTATCTTGAGCTTTTCACAATTACACAACACATCAAACTTTGTGAAATGAAATCTATCAAACTACTGAGACAACAACTCGGTGCAGAAGGTTAAGGGCATTTTGATGCGTTGCGTTTGTACGAAAGCACATCCCTGACGGACTGCTTTAACGCCCTGGATGGCCTTTGGTGGTTACGGCAACATGATTTTACTGCGCGCCTGTTTTTCTCATTTAAGAGAGGGAGGAAAGTGTTAATGAATTCATCAGTCGTATACCACAGTCACTTCCTGACTGCCGTTGCAATGGAATCCTCGCAACGAAATCCGAAGGAACGATGGCGGTGCAATGCCTTTTGGTTGGCATTCGAGACAATAAAGCTAGAGAACACCTGCTGTCAGAAGACGAGAATAAACTCATTTGGGAAACAGCCTGCTCACTGGTCAGACAAAGGGAAAGCGTTGTGCAACAATTAATTCAGTATCGAAGCGATTCTTCTTCAGATGCCGTCCATGCGGTTACATCTCGACTATCATCCACCAACAAATGTTTCTTTACGTGCTACGGATGCGGCGAGAAGCATGAAAAGGTTATTGATTGCAGACAGTCTATTTGTCATAAGTGCGGAAAGGTCGGACATATTGCACGTGTATGTCGTTCGACTGTAATTTAACGACCGATAGCCCGCCCTGCCCAGGGTACCGTTCAAACTGTGGTAAACACTGACGATCCCATATTCGCACACAACCACATCGCAAGCAATGGGAATACCCGCGGACACTGTTGGTTTAAACATTGAAGGCCAGCAAGTACGTCTGATCGATACCGGGGCCTCGGTTACATTGATCAACAACCGGACTTTGCCCGACCTGGTTCTGACTCCGACTCAATCTAAATTACGATCATGCACTTGGGAAATACTCGATATTTTGGGCGTGTGTCACTCGAAAGTAAAGCATGGGGACAATACGTTGACTTCCTCTAATCGTTGTTAACACTGACGGATCGAACCTACCTGAGAGAAACTGATTAAAGTACATGCCGGAAATATTACAACCTGTCAAGAAAGTGGACAGTGTTTCTGACTTACCTACACTTTTGAAAACCTTTGCCAGTGTTTTGAATACAAACATACCTGAGAAATTACGTGATTTCAAAGCTTGCTCGAAAATCAAGCCACAGACTCAACCGAAATTTTAAAAAGCACGGAATCTACCTTCGCAATCCGTCCGAAGATAGAGTTAGAGGGACTACAAAAGAACAGAATAATTTCACCCGTACGCCACTCCTCCTGGGCTGCACCCATCGTTACAGTACAGAAGCCTGATGGCTCAGCTCGCATTTGCTTGCTCGCGCAAGCGACGACGACGGAACATTATCCGATTCCACGGATAGATGACCTTTACGCAAAATTTGTCGGATGGACAAAAGTTCTCGAAACTTGATCCAAACCATACTTATTCTCAAGTGGAACTACAGGAATCCTCAAAGGAAATTACGACCATTAATACACACAAGGGATTGTTCTGCTATAACCGATTACCATTCGAGATACACTCCGCGCCGGCGATCATTCAGGGAATTATAGACAACTTAGTGAAAGGCATACCCGGAGTTTGTGCTTATTTGGACGACATTTTGGTTACTGGTCCTACCGACTACGAATATATGAGAGCACTTGCGGCAGTCTTGTAACGCCTTCAGGAAAGCGATCCCCCAGAATGCGACAGCGGCGGTATTTTCTCATTATGCTTGTCCGGAGATGAGGCAGCTTCAAATGTCGGTTAAGTCTGTGTGGGCATTGCTTTGAGTCGGCGGACTGAAGCTGCCTTGATCGATTAGATCCCAATCAACAGCCCGGGGGTGCGCTGTCAGATTGAGTCACTCGTTAAAAGCTTCGGAAGCGCGCAGGAACAATGATGTATGTTTGTCATTGGGGTTTACGCGCCCACAAATTGTAGCGCTGATTCGGTGAAAGATGAATTCTACCACCAGCTGAACGAGCACCTTCGTCGCGGAACTAGTACGGATACTGTGATGCTGGTTGGTGATCTGAACGCCCAAACTGTCCATTAATGAGTTTAATCTAGGGGGCCAACATGGTGTAGGCTCGCGTAACGATAACAATGAGCGGTTGCTACAACTGTGTGTAGTTTATTGTCTCTTTCTCGCAAGCATTAACTACCGACACAGGATCTGTAGAAGAGTAACATGGCGCCCACCAGCCATGGATGCAAATCGATCACATCGCGATCAGGTACCGGTGGAGAGGCTGCATCCAAAACTGTCGATAGATTTGGAGCTTGAGTTTGGACTCTCACCACGCATTTGTAAGCGCCGACCTGCGGGTAGTATCATGGTTGGCAACATCCGGTTCCGGATTTGCCTGTCACTGTGGTTAGCCACAGGACGCCTGTGTCTGCAGACGGACCATGGGTGGCTTGCGCTGCACCACCCATATATCCAGGGGTAGTAACAACAGTCTAACAAATAGATATAGAGCCAAACAAAATCATGGAAATCAGCGGATAGGAGGTACAGTCGATACATAAACATCATTATGAGATATTAGTCGAAGGTAAGCAACAGACTTCAGGTATTGTGCTCCAAGAAGGGAACATTTTTATCCTTTTCACGCACTCCATTATTTGTCTTTTTTTATCTTTTTAATTGTTAGGTGTTAGGCGTCTGAATCTGAACAAGTATGTACACTGACATTCCTCTGGTTTCGATTGCGCGCCATTTCCTGAATCCTTTTTCAGCCACTGGCACTCTTCGTCTTCTGGTCCCCAGCCAAGTAGGCGTGTGGACCCATCAGCAACAAGGCGTGAAGGCAATGAATTCATATGTTGTCGCCAGGTGGATGTTTAACACCGCGCGGTCTCTTCCAGTCGAGTCCTGCATGAGCGAAAAGGGCGCGATGGGTCGAACACTCAGCTGACGTACGCAGGACAAGACCGAGCCATCTTAGCTGGCGCAATAAAACCAGTTTGTTGAAGGGAATACAAGACGTCTGACTTCACCAACGCAGGTAAGTTGTTGCCACCATACACGGGCAATGCACTTCAAGCGCTCATTATCAAAGACCGAGAGCCCGCGAATGCCATACACGCGAACTGATCATGACTCATTAGCAAATAGCAACACCGCCCGAACTGTGGCATTGGAAACACAACCCTTTACCAAGAGGTAAACATTTCGACGATCGACTTGCGGGTATGTTTCGGCGGACGTCTGCAACGGCGCCGTGGGTGTGTAGATGCTTGCTAAGTGGCGAAGTCAAATGTTCTGAATTGGTATAATAGTACGCTGGCATCCGAGCTGAGTAAGCGCCCAATGAACACAAGTGAAGATCAATGGTTGCACAGACTTCAGACGTTATTAGCAGTAGTCATGTTTTCATGTGGCAAATCAAATTTCCAGCCTAGACATTGGATCTTTACGCAATCTCTGGAACTTCTGGGGCTCGCCGACGTCTTGGCTGGAAGCGGACACAGCGAAACTCGTAAATATCTCAGGAAAAACTGAGTGCTAACCTGAAGAGACCGCGAAGCCTGATAGTCTCATCGTGCCTCTGAGGTGAAATCTGCCGCTGGCACTGATAACCATCAGAAGTTATTCCGTTTGATACAGGAAACGAACAGCGGGAGACGTGGCGTCAGCGAAACCAGAAGCGACGAGAGTGGACAGTCTATCCATAGCTTGCCAAAGCGCTTGGAGCAATTTAATCAGTCAGAGTTACCTGCCTCTCTACCGGTCATTGATCGCTCTTTTCCCCGGGCTGTCTCCTTGGATCCGCTCTCACGCATAGACGTCGAATGTGAGATCAAACTGTTGAAACTGGATAAGACCGCAGGGACAGACAATCTATATCCAGCCCACTTCGAATTCGGGGGACCTGTTTTTATGGTAGATTTACACAACTTACTGGTGAATCCGTGGGAGCAGGTGATTATCCCAACAGACTCGGGCTGCTCCGTTATTTCATAATTTTTAAGGGAGTCCCCCATTCCGAATCCGGCAATCATGGAGGAATCAGCTTGATCTAAACTGACTCTGTTAATTGTCTCCGTCTTCCTCCATAGACTAACTGGCACCTGTGAAAGCCGGGTTCCAGAGCAGCAAGCCGGATTTCGTTGAAACCGAGGCTGCATTTATCATATCTTCACTTCATGTCAGCTGTTGGAACACCGCAATATTTAGTGGCGATCCACCGAATCAAAGGTTCCTTTGATTCAGTGGTTGATGTGCATTTCGAGACTGTCTGTTCAGGAAATGTGTGCCTTATAAATGTCAGAACGTTGTACGCGCGTAGTTCTTGCAGAATGTTAGCTTTCCGTGAGATGTCGCCGACCTTCAACATCTCCAGTGGTGAGACAAGGTTGGCCGCTGTCAATTTTCCTTTCCAAGTTCGACACTGACGGTATAGGAAACGAAGTTCGCCGGACAAGTGCTTCAAAGGTGTGGAACTGCTTTCCGATGAGCGACTGACTTGGAGTATGCTACATTGCCCTAATCTATGACAGCTCATAAACGTGACAAGCTGCAGTGGACAGACTAACACTGACTGTCAGTCGTTTAAAGGGTTGCTTTACACTCTCTAAATGCAAAGTCCTTCTCCAAGATTGGGAGGGACCCAACCTGTCGCTGACCCTTGGTGACGATCAGCTAGAAGTCGTCATGAAATTCAAGTACCTTAGGATCTATATTAGCATCAGTGAAATACACAATGAGAACGTTTTTGTTAATCTGCGCTATCTGTGGCGCCGGCGTTACATCGTTTCGCCATTAACAGCAGTGCATACAATGCCGCCGTCCGTCCAACCCTCTAGTGCATTTGCCAAACCTGCTCCTTAGTCGACAGACATAAAAAGGCTAGTTACGCTCGATCGTCGCTGCCTTTGCAGCTTAGCTCATGTCTGGTGGGAACACCGCGTGAGCAATATGCGTGTTCATTGTCGCGTTTTTTGGTGCCGGGAGAGCGAGGGAACCGCTCAGCAGCGTTACTTCAGATCCCAGACTCCGAAGGCTGGGCCACGTGTTGCGTATGCCACCACACCGACTCCTGCATCGTACGTTGTTTGCGCATCGGAGGTGGGGATGGAAGAGGAGGAGGGGAGGCCAAGGAATAACTTGGTCAGTAGATGTGAAGACCCTCACTTTAAAGTTGGCGTCGGACGACGTCTCCTGACTGTCGAGCTGGGGTCTGAAGGACGATGAGCGTTTGGTTGGATACACTGGTTGACATCGGGAAGAGTTGGCTTTAATGGCGTTTATGCTGTTTTTTATCCCCCTAATCTTCCCTTTATAACCACGTTCTTACATGTCATGCTTAATATGAAACTAAGCATCATATTACGTTCATAGTTTTATATTGTGTTCCGTAACCGCTTGTATCTCGTTTTTATTCACATAGATTATCTTTTTTATTGCGCCACATTAGCCGAAGTGTTTATTACCTCCAGCTAATTGGTGCTTATGACGATGATGCCAGATTTTGCAGCCATAAATGAGCACGATTCGTACCGTAGTGTTGTAGACTCGACCCTTCAGTGAAAGACCGATATAAAGCCGGCGGCAGAAGTGCTGGAAATTGATACAGGCCACAGTGGCTTCGAAGATACGCAAGTTGATCACATCTGTTAATGCGCTCATGCTAATGAGACTTCTAGAGTAAACCAACTTGTTGACCACTTCGAAAGAGGCGTTGGGGAAAGTGAAGGTAGAGGCGGCTTCTATCCAGTCTGAACTGCGTAGCATGTCCTGGGCAGCCTGCAAGCAGTCACAGATTACGGATATATCCTCAGCATACCTCAAGTCACCCGGGAGTAACTTGACGCCATTAGGTCAACAGTCTTCCAGAACACACATTAAGATGTCATCCACAGCGAAGTGGGACAAGATAGGTGAGGTGGGGCAATCCTGTCTCACGCCATAGGTTACATTAAAGGGGGGGCGAATGTCTACCGTAGATCTGTATTCAGCCCGAGGTTCGAGAATGAATGGCTTTAATGTTAACCTACTGTCTGGCGCAAGGGGTGCTTGTGAGATTGTGATTCAAACGGAGACGAAAACGGAAAAAAGATTTTCCTTATTACAAGCGCAACAGGTAGAATACGGGCTGCGCAGGTGGTCGCCTTACAAGGATACCGACGAGATAATGTGACTTTCGGTAGTTTATCCGGTTAGTAAAACACTCTTGCATGAGACCGAACTGACTCGACTGCCAAAGCTATGAGCATTCAAGTCACGTGCTTCGGGATGAAGTGGAGCTCATAAAGGCAACGATACCAACTTTATGTGTAAAACGTCATAAAGTTCGGAGGCTAGAAACATACAATATAACCTCCGAAGTTTATCATCTCTGCATCCTGACAACATTCCTAAGTTGACCGTCTTTTCTTCAATGGTTGAACAACCACCATGGAAACCTTATGGATCTCTGTATGTTGACCACTTTGGTCCAGTCCGTTAAGTGACCGACTTACGGAGGTTTTACCGAATACGTAACTGCGTAGGGTAAAGTTAACTGGCGGTGGTCAGCAAAACCAGTATAATAATGGAGAAACGGACAGGGGAGTTGAACGAAACTTGGACCAACAGACTGAAAGTTAGTCGATTGCCGCCGATGCAAGCTGAAGGATAGTACATAATTGATTCGGACTGATGTGAATAAATCGCGAGCGCAGGCCAATTAAGAAATCATCAAAAGAAATGCGCCACATTGTGAGTGATTCAAATTCATGCTAAATATGTATTGATCCTTCGTGGGAAACAGGTTTTGACCAAGTATCGAACTTTGTTTTTGATTCTCAAAGGACCATACGCGACAGCAACCTTGCCAGTAAACCAACAATAGCAAAGTATCAACCACCAGCTAGACAGTTCAGTGAAAGGGACACTTGCCAAAGTTAGATTCGTAACTCCGGTACCCATATAGGAAAAGTCCAAAGGATGGAATGTCACAGAGTACAATGCTTAGTGTATATCAGAAAATACCTACTTCAGATGCAGTCCCAATGAGCTGAATGTCTGAGATGCAGCGTAAATTGAGCTCCGGTACAAATAGGGGTTATAAATCGCGATTCACAAACTCAGACACGTCTGCGTTTGTCACCATAGAATGGTCAACAAAAATGGCTCAAAACCCTCCTGACAAGTTCAAACAGATAGACAAGAAAAACTTAGTGAAGACGCGGTGCGGGTCACTTTATTATCACATTCTCAAACATGCGGACAACTCAGAATGCAGAAACCTGCGCTAGTGCTGTGGAGTGGCTTCGTGACAACGGAAGAAAGGTAGCTAACTCAGATGGACAGTCTGTAGAGCTCGTCACCACATGCTAATGTTAGAGTAACGAAGAAAAACATATAGTAGCATCATCGTCGTAAAGCTACATGAGTAAGCAATGTGGAAAAAAGTGTGAAACGTCCTCTCGCGAACTGGATAACGGTGCCTTGGTTAGACCGCACCGAAGAGCTATCATAGGAGAAGTTTCGGTGGAAAATCTGAACTGCGTAGAAAATTAGCAGACAGACAACGCTCACACCCGGCGCTTGTGCACATAGCAGTCAGATCGGAGGACTATGAATAGCAAATAGTGCAGAATCACCTAAGTTGGTGGTTCATGGTGAATATGAATGGATCGCACTCGTGTCCTTACCCGTTGTAGAGGTGTGGCATATGGTTTCATGAATCTTCCTTTTTCGGCTGGATGAAGACGGAGATAGCTCAAGTGGAAATACCGGTCCCGAACTCGAAGTGATCGATCCGTCGTTGGCATTAGATCCCGTCACGGATGTCAGTAGATGTTCTGTGGGTGTATTCAGCTGTGATTGAATTCGAAAGAGCCGGAGCATCAGTGTGAAATTTAGGAAAACAATGCTGAAGGCTAAACTAAAGCAACAGGTTAATCATTGGACAGTTTAGTCTAAAAAAGTTCAAGAGAGTTAGGGCAAAGCAAAACTGTGACCGATAACGTTAACAATCTTAGATGATCGAATTGGAGCTAAGAAGTGGGAGAACGGTCATTTAAAAAGCCAGGAACAATACACCTCCGCAAAGTTGAATGTACCCAGGGACTAGTTAACATAAGTTCACATAAGGCAAAAATGAAATGAAAAATGCATAGCTCTAGTTTCTGTGGGTGTGATGAGTCGTTGATAAGAGATTAACTGCACGTTTACTTGTTCCCAATGATGCAAACAACACCAAAACTCTCCACTTCGGATACAGTCTTGACGATTCTAATGGCTGAGATGTACTCAAATGTAAACCGTGGTCTCAACTGGGATTACGTGCTACAAGGGCATACATCAATGTAATCAAATCTGGGAGATGAAAAACAGAACATAAATCGAGAAAATACAGCACTGACCTTTAGATTCCCGAGTGGGAACAGTAAGTGTCTGGGACAGTCTTATTAATCCTTTAACGGACAAAAAACTAGCCGTCAAAGAGGAAGTACACGCTAACAGGCAAACCTAGTTGGTGGATGAGGGGGATGCCAGGCTTTTGGAATGAACCGAATAATTCACCTTTCCCTTGCATATGAGTCAAGTAATCAATCACCCGCAATGTCCTTTAGTATACGACTTCGTGACTGGTCGGGTAGTTTCCAATTAAACACAACGAGAGGTCATGAAATGACCTTCTGCTTCTGAAGTAGAGGCTCTGTGAAGTGACAGATAAGCAAATTTACAGTACGCGCAGAAGGCGGTCCTTGCCAATCTTAGAAAAATGCTATGCAGTTCGAAGGTGCAAAGCAAAGCCCGAAACGGCTGATAGCCAGTGCCATTCTGTACAAAGGCGCTTGGCACGTTTGTCAGCTGTCAAGGATGAGGACAATGTCGGCGGCATATTCCAAGTTAGGAAGCAGTTCATGTGGGAACAGCTCCACACCTAATTCGTGTACAGTGAGCGTGATCTCCTTGACTTCCTCAATAGCGAGGTTGAAGAGGAAAGGTGACAGCGGGCATCCTTGTCTCACGCCGCTGGAGATATTAAAGGGCGACGACAGCTTGGCGTAACCCCTCACTCTGCCTGAGCTACCCGCATATAATGCTCGGATAATATTCACATATTTCTCGGGCACACCTTTCCTGAGTAGACAGTCCCAAAGTGCATGTCTATCCACCGAATCGAATGCACCTTTGATATCGAGGAACACGACAATGGTGGGCCGCCAATATACGTGATGGTGCTCCAACAACTGACGCAAGGTGAAGATGTGGTCAATGCAGCCACGACCTCGACGAAACCCGGCTTGCTCTTCACGAATATGGCTTTCACAAGTGTCAGTCAGTCTGTGAAGGATGACAGAGGTAAGCGATTTGGAGGCGATTGAGATCAGACTGATTCCTCTATGGTTGTCGCATTCCGATCGTGACCGTCCTTTTGAAATTGGGACTATGACGGAGCGGCTCCTGTCGCTGGGACAGTTTCCTGCTCCCAGTTTCACTAGTAACTCGTATAATCCATCCACTAGAGCAGGTTCCCCGAATTTGAAAAGGTCTGGAGGAAGATCATCTGATCCCGCGGCTTTATTTAACTGAAACAGTCCGTTCTCACGTTCGACTTCTGAGCGAGAGGGTGGATCCAAAGGGAAACCCCAGGGAGCGGGGCGATCAGTGTCCGGCGAGTAACCTAACAATTCCGGGCGACTAAATTGTCATTCAAACTGCTCAGCCCAACGCTCCAAGCGTTTTGACAAATTGTGGATAGGCTGTCCACGCTCTTCAGGTATAGTTTCACTAACACCAGGTCTCCTGCTGCCCGTTTCCCGTATCAGCCGGAATAACTTACGATGGTTACCAAGCGCAGCGACCATTTCCATCTCTGAAGCACCATGAGACCACCAAGATTTGCAGTCTCTCCTCAGACTAGCAAGGAATTTTGCCCGGAGATTCTCGCGAGTCTAATTGTGTACGATTCCAGTTGGAATGTATCAGCGAGCATCTACAAGTTCTAGAGACTGCGAAGAGACCCAACTTCCATGTTGGCTATTAGACTTACCAAATGAAGATTTGCCTATGCTAATGAGGTCTGGTGAACATGCGACGAGTGACCTTCAGTTGTATTACGTGAGCGCTCAACCCGAACGCGCATTCAGAACAGCTGGCTCCGATGGTTGACTAGTGTCTATGCGATTACAGCGTTGTTGTTAACGTTCACAAAAACGCACCCGCTGATCAGCACATACAAACTTGTACTCCAAATCGAGTGACAGTTTTGAACGCAGCCTCTCTAGCGGTACATGATCTCCATGTGATCGATTTGAGTTCATGGCTGGTTTGAGGCGACTGAGCGCCAGGTCACCCTCCAGCGGGTGCTGTGTCGGAAACAGACATCAGCAGTATGCCGGTACGCACGCTTTTCTGTCGCGCAACCGCCAGTGGCATGTACGTTAAGGATACTGCGAGGGTCGTTCGTTCCCTACGCACGCTCGAACCGGCTCCCTCGGATTACAAGGCAAGCTTGTGATCCTTAAGGCTATGGACCGGATGTGCGGGTTAGTGCTCGCAAGAAATAAGCCAGTATCTTCATAAAATGAAGCAACCGCTCACTGTTATCATTACGAGAGTCTAAACGATGTTCGCCAACCAGATGAAGCTCTTTAGTTGACAATTTTCTAACTTGAGCGTTCAGATTCCTAGCCAGGACTACAGTGTCCGTGGTTCTACTGTGACGAAGGAGCCCGTTCAAGTCGTCTTTCACGAAGTCATCGCTAGTTTGTGGACGCGTAGGCAGCGATGACCGACCCCTACTGGCTCCGCGCGACTTCGAAGCCTTGAACGAGTCAGCCAGACACATCCGGCTACTGATTAGGATCCACTCAACCAGAGAAGCTTCAGCGCGGGGACTCAGAACAATAGCAACACTGGCTTGACCGACATTCGAAGATGCATCATCTCCGGACAGACGCAATGAGAAAGCACTGCTAGTGTCACCTGAAGGGGGTTGCAAAGCAAGCACAGAGCTCGAGTGTTGCAGGCTGATCTCCGATAAGCAGCAGAAATCGATCGACAGGGTCTCTAATATTCGGGCAAGTGCTGCCTGTTGACCTAACTGTAACCACGTGTGTGGATGTCGTTATCCTTGCTGGGGATTTTAATGCACGGGTTGGCCGCCTCTTACCACACGAACGCCACCTTGGTGGTCATCACTCGATCGATGAGAACCGCTCTGATAACGGTGACTTCTTACATTGTGCGAAGACAACCGTCTGTTTCTTTCCAGCACTAACTTCAGGCGTACGAAGAAGCGTTCCGCAACGTGGCGTCCCCCTTCTTCAACACAACCGTGGTCTCAAATTGATCACATTTCAATTATCTTCAGATGGCGCGGCAGCGTACTGTACTGCAGGTCCTTTTTGTCCACCTTCGTTGACTCAGACCATGCTCTGGTCTGCGCGAAAATCTGTATGTGTTTTGGAGGATCCCGAAACACGAAGCACCGCAAGATTGATGTAAACAGATTAACTGATCCCTCTGTCCAGGCGAGCTATCAGTCTTCATTGGCATATGCACTCAGTTGCAATCCACCGCAAGAAGTGGAACAACACTGGACTTGTATACGGAAGGCAATGACCATTTCCGGACAGTCATGCTGCGGCCTAACGCGACACCCCTTGAAGGCTTGGATCTCTGCTCGTTCTCTGGAGTTGTTCGAACGCCGCAAAGATATCCCTGCGGAATCAGATTGCAACGAGTGGCGCCGTTCTGCCAACCGGCTGTTCAAGCAAAGCCTACGCAAGGGTCGCGAGACATGGTGGTCTGAGCGTGCTTTAGAGATGGAGACCGCTGCTCTCTCTGGCAACACTCGCAGGCTCTTCCAACTCATTCGGTCCACTGGCCTCAGGAAGCCTGGTGTCAGTGAGGTCATTTGTGAGGTGGATGAGTCTCCGATCACCAACCAACAGAGGCGTATGGACCGCTGGGCCGAGCACTTTCACTCGCAGTTCAACTGGCCTCCACCATCCATCAGTACATGCAGTACACCTTGTTGTCCACCCTGGCTCGTCCCTCTGAATCTACCCAGCGAAGCGGAAGTCTGCCTCGAGATTCGACGCTTGAAGCGCTTCAAAGCTGCCGGCTTAGACGGACTTAATCCGGAACTATTCAATTACGGCGGTGTGGCGATCATTAACCAGCTGACCGCGCTGTTCGCAAAAATTTGGCATGAAGAGAAAGTGCCTTCCACTTGGGGAGAATCAGTTATTGTCCCGATTTTCAAGAAAGACGCTCGCACTTCATGTGCAAATCATCGCGGGATTAGTCTTATTTCGGTTGCCTCTAAGCTATTGGCATCCATTCTGCTTCGCAGGCTATCCCCAGTACGTGAATCGTACTACCGTGAAGAACAAGCTGGTTCCCGTCCTGGCCGCGGATGCTAGGATCAAATCTTCACGCTCCGCCAGCTCCTGGAACATCGCCACATTTATCGTAGGCCCACTATCATTGCATTTCTAGACATACGTGCCGCTTTTGACTCCGTTGATCGACCAGCTTTATGGCGTTGCTTACTAAAGAAAGGGGTGCCAGAGAAATATACCGACATCTTATGAGCACTTTACCTTCATACATCCGGCAGAGTGAGGGTCTATGGCAAGCTTTCCTCGCAATTCGCTGTCAATAGCGGTGTGCGACAGGGCTGCCCTATGCCCCCATTCCTCTTCAACTTCGCAATCGAAGACGTTCTGTCGAATGCTCTAGAAGGTTTCCAACATTTTGGCTTAGAGCTTCTACCGGGTGAGCGCGCGACTGACTTAGATTATGCTGATGATATCGCCTTACTTGGTGACGATCCTCAGAGTATGCAACTCATTCTG